TGAATGATTAGTCAATAACATTCTGAAAGTCCATTGAAAAATCATAATTCTATCACATTCATAATGTATTCTTTATGCTGTTGCAAAACTTCCCAAATATGTCAGGGCTATTATTTTGTAGGTCTGTAATAAGATCTACACTACAATTAAGTTCTAGTCACCAAATATTTTTTTAATATTTCCCTGGGAAGGAGAACTCTGAAAAAGAGAAGCAAGAGTTACTCTAGTTGAGAAGTGAGGTTTTACTATGAAAACTTGAAGATTGTAAGCAGTATGTCCATTTTGTTATTGTAAACTAACTCATCTGTGTTCAGATGAAGTGTCAGATCATTTAAAGCAAAAAAGAAAAAAAAGTTTTGTAAGCTCTTAAATTTTGTTAAAATGCTAAATACATTTCCATTTTTAGGGATTGTAGGGAAGATGCCCTTCTCTCTCCTTTCTTAGACTGATTCAGATATTTTAGTCAAAAAAGTCTATTCAAACAAGTAATGTTTCATTGACAGAACATTTAAGTTACCACAAAGCCTTAAATCAATCTCTGAAGTATAGAAAAATTATATCTTATGTATAAATCAGGAAATTAAGAGTAACTTCTTACAAAATATTTAAAGATAATACTGTAGATGGTTGTTTGTGTAATAATATGAGGGCATGGAATTTTTCAGAAATACTTTTATCCAAGTGACATTTTTTAGGAAATTGAGTTTATTCTCCAATTACATGTGACCATTTTTACAATACATGATAAAGATCTAGTCTATGAGTTCATAACATGATATTGCAACATTTAAATTTAATTAAACATTTAACTTCTGTAATGATTAGTTGTTTTATTACAAAGTTGTATAAAATAAAATACATATTTCTCTTTTAAAGATGTAAATGAGTTTGAGATTATTGTTCAAAATTTATTTAATAAATTCACAGAAGATATTTGAATTCATAGCCAAATTCAAATCATTATAGTTTAGATCACATAGTTGATTATAAAATGAAATACTGTATATATTTTAAATGATGCAATGTTGCAAATAGCATTTCTACTATACAGGACTTGGCAATGAAAGCTGAAATATTATTAAACTTAGGTTTTTGGATATTTGTTTTCTGCAGTGTCTTTACAGGTGAAAGTTCATTTTGTACTGAGTGCAAGAAGCTCTTTCCAAATATGGCTGATGTGTTATTAACAAGAGTCAGCTAAAGAGACAGTGTTTCTTATTTAAAATGAGCAGGATTTATAGTCATAATTGGCTGGAAATGCCATGGGGAGATGGAGATTTAGGTACTGTATACAGTGTTTAAAACTTTCCTTATTTTTATCTGTTTATGGTAGCATTTTAACTTTGATCTCTGCAATATTTACAGAACTGTAGCTCTTGTTCCTGGTAAATTAGATACCATATGACTTGCAATGCAGAATCTAAATATAGCCACTAGTACTTTGCATTTCAGTCACTGAGAAAAAAAAAATCATAAGGAAATGTTAGCGATTGTATTTTTTTCTCCAACTAACCTTTAATATGTTCTCCTTAAATTTAAAGAGCTAGATTAAATTGGAACTTGATTCTCTTTCCATTATTATACAGTGCATGCCATGCTGTGAAAACTTGATAAAGTCAAGTACGGTACTGAAAGGCTTTTGTATATAAAAATTACATCTATTACTTCTAGCGTACTTACAATTCTGCCACCAATCATTAAACTACAAGAATTCATCACATAACTGATGAAATCTGTCTCTTGTTGCACTTTGTCTTAGAAGTATAGAAATCATGATTGTTTTGGCGTCTTATGTATGGTGTTTTAAAATATTAAGAGTACAGCTTTATATTCATATTTTTCCAATAGCCTGCAGAAATTAAATGGAAGAAGGGGGAGGGAATGCAGGATAAATCATTCCTCTAAGAAGTAACTTACTGTATTTTCAAATGAATTATATGAACATTTTACAATCCCTTTTTCTTTGTAAATGTAAACATAACAAAGTACTGCAAGGTAGATTAAAATCCAATATAAAATATGGGAGATAACCTTTAGTTCTAATAAATAGGAAAAGGAGACCCACAGGGAGTATTTTTGAAGTGAGATGTTAACTAGTTTATATTTGCTCTTAATATAGCTACAATAGAGACCCTGGACATGGAGGCTTAGTTCAGTGTAGTGTTTTGGATTCTATCCTGACATTGAGATAATGAATGTCATGGCTTTACAATAATGGCACATGCCACAATTTTCTAAGAAGCATAGCATGTACATTTAAAGGGAGGCATGGGAGGAAACAGAAAGTTAGCAAGGACGTGAATCAATATGTCTTGCAAGAGAAAATGAAAACAATGAAATGAAATGAAAACAGTAGGGAAGATTTTGACTGCAGTATTCTGCTTTTAACAAAATTAATACTACCAGTGCAAACTCAGAATGCCTTAGGGATACTAATCAGGCACTTTATATGCTTGGTACACTTTCCCCAATGCTGCAGCTCTTAAAGCTAATTTGGCAGCAAAACAAATTGGCACAAAAGTGTAATGAATTCTCTGCAGAAGATGGATGAAGGAAGTTGTAAATAGCAACCATACATCTTGGGGTCTGTTGCTCACACAATAATTTGTTGCAAGATATGTGGCTTACATTTCATTTTCTGATATAAATAGTATATTGTTCCTTTTACTGTGGTAGAATTTTGTGCAGTGCTAAAATCAAATACTATGTACACATGTACATCTAATTTAAATCAGAAAGTTTATTTACTGCAGGGAATGAACACTGGAAAGCTCATATGTATTTGTGGATTTCTTTTCAGCTGTTTAGCAATATGTTTTGAACCCATGCATTGAATTGCTTAGTTTGCGCAATAGGGCAAGAGCTGAATAACACACCGGTATTTTGATATGGTAAAAGAAATAGGCGCCATTTCCCCCTGGCTACAGCACTATATTAAGTGATTTCCATTAATTGACTTGCAGCTAATGGAACTTGCAGCTCAGTTCTAATATTTCATTCATTCTTAGGTTAACAACTTGAAAGCATTTCCATGTGTGGAAAAATGAAAAAAAGTGAATACCATTAGCATTTTTTTCTATTCAGAGAATGATTCACCAGATGTATACTGAGGGTTGAGATTTAGATTTAGTAAGAACTAGACAACCCCATGGCCCATTGGATCATTGTTTCAGAGATACTTCATTTCCTAAAAAAAGAAACAGAATGATTGCGCAAAAAAGCAGTGGGAGCAGGAGCAACTTCCAATTTCCCACTGGCTCCTTCATTGAGTTTTCTTGTGGGGATCTGGCAGGGAGCATCAGAAATCCTTCCTTCCCCTTCCCCTCCTCTTCCCTTTCTTTTTTAGCAGGCAAATAAGTAGCTTTTGCTAGATGGAGCAAGGATTGAAGGATTGCAAAACTGGTTGGGAAATGGAATAATGAAAATGAAAATGATGTGAGCACAGCAGCAGGTCAGCAGCACAGCAGCAGTTAGTAGCACTGAAGCAGGACAACAATGTTTGAACAATGTGCCTCAAATATTCTCAAATGTTATCCCCTAGGGAGTCACAGATCCCAGATTTTATATATAGTCTGTAAATTATTCCTTTGAAGGTACTTGGTTCAAACATTGTTGCCCTATGATGCACTGTTTCAACCAGTTAAAGGTCGTGACAATGAGAGCTTTGATAGTATAGATGGTCCTTGAGTTATGACAGTGACAGTTCAAAATTATGAATACTCTCCCAAAGTCCCTAAGTTAGTACATTGCAGCATCAAGGGCATCATTTGCCCTTGCAACCAACCACAGAGGCACTACAACATACCCCCACCTCTTCATTCCCTCTATCCTGTCCCATCAGTCTCCACAGTCTGCTTTGGTAGCCCACTGGGTTCCACGTGCTCCTCCCCAACCTGATATTGGTCCCTCACTTTCAAAGATCTCTAGAGCTCCAGAAAAGACTGGGCCACATGACAAAAAAGCAGCTGACTTTTTCTCAAATGCTGGCCTCCATGGAGATGGATGGAGAGCTTGGTGCACCAGCAAACCCACACTTGCCAGGTGCACCCTGGGGAAGATCAGTTGGATAGGCAGGCAACTACAGGCTGTAGGGGTTTACCCAGAGTAAGAGGACTTTTCTGGCAATACTGGCAGTTGTGGGGGGACCCACCCACCAGACCAGGGAGTACGCCCAAGACTCTGGTACCCAAGACACTGCAGGAGGTGAGTGAAAACAGACGGCACAGAACTCCCAGGCATGGTGCTCTACAACTGCCCTCAACTGGCTCATTGTGAGGTGCTCAGCCATCCCTAGTGACAGTGCAGCTGCTTCGTTTCACTCTCCTGCTACAACTGCCCATCCACCTCGCAGTCAAAACTAGCATGAAAAATGCTCTGAATTGATTGTTTCTGCCGCCTTTGCACTACAATCCCTGAAACAGTTCATTCAAACTGCCCAGCAGTGTACAGAGGGTGCCTGCGCACTGCCCAGGCTGGGACCTGACAAGGCCTTCAGAGATGCAATAGACTTTGTGTTCTTATAGACGATACCATCCTCTGAACAAATGTGAGTGTGTGTTAAGAATACGAGATTTAAGGAAAACAGCTTTGAAAAAAAAGGCCTTTTCTGCCATGTGGCTCAGCAAGTTCTGGAGCTCTGGAGATCTTCGAAAAGTAAGTGAGTGATTGATGATGAAGGCGTTTGTGTGGAGAAGGTCCAAGCAGCTGTGGGAACCCCAAATGATGGGAAGAGGAGCATGAGGTATTTCAGTAGATGGGTGACCAGAGGCAAGTGGTCTTGTTCCTGCACTAGGGCCTCCCATGGTCTTCCCCACCTCTGAGGTATCCCATGTGCACTTAATAACCTACACATTCGATTAATGAATGAACTGGGGAGAGCAGGGAACAGGCTTGTTCATTTAATGTGATTCACATATTTATGTATAGTAATTGTTTGTATTAGTTCTTTTATATTAATGAAAGTTATTTAATTTAAACTATGCCATGATATTGTTCCATAGGCTCTTGGGCAGACCGCTCACCCCTGCATGAAGCAGCAAGCCAAGGGCGCCTTCTTTCTCTCAAAACATTAATTGCACAGGTAAAATGTGAAAATGTAACTAAAATCAATGTTCATTCTGTTAACTGTAAAAGCATTTTACTGCTTTGTTAAACATGAAAAAGATATTACTTTATTCTTCATTAATCACAAGTTTTGGTTTCTGTGGTTTCTTTACTTGTTTATACAGTTCCAAGAATCTCGCCACAGTAAATATGACAGTGATGAGGATTACCATATTTTTTGGAGTATAAGATGCACCTTTCCCCCTCCCCAAAAAAGAGGGTGAAAATCTAATTGCGTCTTGTACACTGAATACAGAATTTTTGGCCCACCAAAACCCTGCCCCCTTTGCAAAAATGGATGTGCAGAGGATTTGGGAGGCTTGCAAAGTACTCCTGGGAGCTGGAGGAGGGCAAAAATGAGCAAAAAATGGATTGTTTTTGCTCTGCACTAGCCCCCAGGAGCACTCTACAAACCTCCCAAAGCTCTGCATGCCCCCCACCCTTTTTATTTTATTTTTATTTTTTTGCAAAAAATGAGACCTGCAGAGGATTTGGGAGGCCTGCAGAGTGCAAAAACTTTTTTTTAATTTACTTGTTCAAAATCATGCTGCGTTTTATACTCCGGTGTGTCTTATAGTCCGAAAAATATGGTAGATACATTGCCTCCAAGCGCCAACTTTAATGAAGTAATAAATATCCAGGCATAGTGTTTTAGGGCTCTGAACACTATCAATTTTACAATATAAAAACTAATCAAGTAACTGCTATCTAGGCTTAGGTGATAAACTCATCTAATTCATATCGTTGTTACAGGTTCTATGATAACTGTACACATGAGCTTTGTTTTGTGATAGATATTTATACATATCCCTGTTCTAAAATCAGTATTCTAGCTACATTTGCAGGGCATAGCCACCCAACATGATTTTTAAATAACAACCACACACACAACAGGTACAAGGCTGTAGGTAACCAGAATCATGATGTGGTTACAGATGAGATTATCTTAACCACAATGTGGTCTCAGGTTGGATGACTCTCTAATATGATTCTGCAGGCTATATAACCCAGAACTACTCATTACTTCAATTTATCCAAGAATTGCTTTCTAGTTGAAGTAGTTAAAATTGATGAGGAAGGATATGCTACTTACCCCTCTGCCTTCTACTACTGAATCTTTTAATACCCAGACACTGCGCTTCATATACTAAATATTTGCTGTAGATATTATGTGCAATTTATGGCTAGTTTAAATTGTGGAACAGATTTTTCACTGTATTTTTATTTTTCTTATTAAAGTTACATCCCATATTTCTGCATGGGAAAATCTTTAAGGTGACTTAAAACAATTTCAGCATGCATATCCCCATGCCACAAGCCAACTCAAAAAATATTCTAAGTATAGATTGCTATCTTTTCATGTTTAAGATAGCTAAAAGCTTGAAAAACTCTTAAGTGCCCATGGCAGTAAAACTTTAGAATTTTCTATATTTCAGAGGATCTCCAAATTTGCAGTGCTGGGAACTCCCCTGATGTCAAAAATGTATGTAATTACCTCCATGAGTAATGATGCCACTAACTACATTATCATCAACAACACTGATATCTGTTTCCAGAATTACCATTTCTGCAGTAGTTTTGGGTTTTATACATTGCAGTTCTAGAGGTTCCACAGGCCAAGCCCTCCAGCCAGCTGAGTCAATACGATGGGATCTGAGGTCCTCCCCATGTCTGAACCAGCTGGATGTGGGGAAGGCGGCTGCTGAAACCTTGGTCTTGAGTAAGCCATTTGGCTTCCAGTGCTGCATCACCTTGCAGTGTTTTAATTAGAGATACCTAGAGGTGAGCTTGGTAGTGCACTCTCTTCCTAATTCTAACAATGGGCTCCCACTTGGGATGAGCTGTTTCTCCCTGTCAGTCATGTACTATATTTGACACAAATTCCTTGCCTCCTATCTTTTCTGGGAATCAGATCTCTTAGATGTTGTACTCTTTGCTCAACTATCTTTCAATCGTCCTGGTCATCCAAAAACTTACAACTCCCTTCATATTTGCTGTTTTTTTCTAGGAGTCATAGCCAAGAGTTTGAGAATCCCTGCTGAAACTTTCTTTGTTGCTGTGAATTAGATTTTAGCAATGCAGAATCATGGTCTTTGGCTATTTGCATTCATATACGCCATGATTTATTGAGCAAGCCAGAAATGACAGTATGGCTGGGTTCACGTATAGTCCTAAGGTAGTTTACTTTTGGCTTAGCACAATCTGTGGACTCAGATTTATAAGTCAACATTTATGACTTGGCATTATACATGAAGTAGAATCTTTTTCTATAACTTCTAGAAACTAGAAGTGGTCTGAGTGTGGGCCTCAGAGCATTTCTAGTTTTTATACGATACAATTTAGTTAATAAGTAATGCAAATGGTAAAATTGCTTGTGTTCAGCTATCAGTGACAATGAGGGGAAGCCACAAATAAATGAGCTCAGAAAAAAGTTTGAGAATCCTGAACTGAATCATTGATTTCTCCTATAATCTGTGGTTAAATAAATCATGTTGTAGCACAACCCAGACTGTCTTTTTGACAGACAAAGCAATTGGATTCTGTGTGACTGATTCTGTTTCCACATATTAAAAGACAGATTTGCTTTGAACCTCTATCAGATTTTTTCTGAAATCTGGCATGGGACAAAAAACAAAGAGTAAGCCAAATGACTGTAAAAATAGTAATTGCAATTAGCTGGTAAACAACATGGTTTTTATACTGTGGTTTCCAGTATTTAATCAAACCCCAAAATGTTTTGAAGTATGATTTTTTTTTCATAATTACATTCCTCTTGAACAGGGGTGTCAAACACTAGGCCCGCAGGCCGGATGTGGCCCATGATGTCGGATCTGGTCCACGGGACCAGCCTGGAAAATATAAGGAACCAGCCCATGTCACTTTGTCCCGGTCTATCCAATGTAAGAGGAAACATTCAGCAATTTGGGGAGTGGCATCAAGCTGGTCACACCCACCAAGTCAGCCAAACCTGCCCGGCCCCCCAAGGTCAACCACAACCCTGATGCGACCTTCAATGAAATTGAATTTGACACCCCTGTTCTTGAAAAATTGTTAAATGTATATGTTACACAAATATTGAATAAAGACTTCTTGTTATATAATTTATCTTTCATTAAGAAACTGAATAGTTGGGAGACTTGTTTTGAATGTTAATTTTTTGTTTTCTGCTTAGGGATACAATGTAGATGCTTTAACTATTGATCAAGTGACACCATTGCACGAGGCATGCCTTGGAGATCATGTAGGATGTGCTCGGATACTTCTCCAAGCAGGAGCAAATGTAAGTGATCACACTGATATTACTTTAAACTGTGGTTAAAAGCTAGAAAGCTTTTCTTAGAAACATTAGGTAAAATGTTTCATACCTACTGAAAGTCCGAATTATTACTATTTGTTTTTATTTTTTTACTAAAATGACATTTTACTAAAATTACATACATCAGTTTACTTTACTTAATTGCATTCTGAATTGTTTGAGCATAGGAAAAGAGGTACAATACCTAGATGTTTGGTACATCTTGAGGTGAGAAAATTATGCAATGTTACCAAAATGTTACCCTGCAAACCCTGGCCTTTTCGTATCTCCAAACCGCATTTGGATGCAAGAGAGCAATAGATACAAAGTATAATTTGTAAACATGTATTTTATCCCCATCAATAAATGTAACCAATATTTTAGGTGAATGCCACAACTATTGATGGGATAACACCCTTATTTAATGCCTGCTCAAGAGGAAGTGCATCTTGTGTACAACTTCTATTGGAATATGGTGCAACAATTCAATGGGAGAGATGTTTTCCTTCACCAACTCATGAAGCAGCCAGTAGAGGTAAGCCTTAGAATAGGTACATTACAAAATGTATCAGCCATTAAAAAAATTAAGATTTTGTTTTAGGGATTAATTACATTATGCTTTCTTAAGGTCACAGTGATTGTCTAGAATTGCTGATTTCTTGGGGCATAGAAGTTGATCTAGATGTTCCTCACCTAGGAACACCTCTATATGTGGCTTGCTTTTCACAGCAGAAACAATGTGTTCACAAACTTCTGCATTCAGGTAATATATATTGTTTGATGTATTTTTATTTTATTTCTTCTTGAACTCAACCAGGCTTTCACTATACCTCTTACAGTGTTTATTTGCTATAAATAAAACCAACACATTTTTTAAATTAGGCCACTTTAAGTAGCTCTGCATTGATTTAAGATAAACAAAAAAGAACATTATTTTAAGTGTAGTTTATTCCTGAAAAAAATATTACTTATTTCTCATTATGATCAACATTATCAGAAGATTTCTGGAAGTCATTAATTTACAAAGATGATAAAAATGTATTATTTTAATATGTTTCCAATGATACTTGTTATAATTAATCCCTATGATATCAAATATACTGTGTATTTCAAATTTAGCCACTTTTCAATTAGGTTATATATGCAACTCAGCAATACATGGATCACTATCCATATTATATCTACAAAAATATAGTGAGGTCCCTTGTTTTAAAGACCCATACTTTTATAACTTAATTCTTATTAACGGAGTGTCATTTTTCTTTAAGATTCATTGATTATTTATTTATAAACTTGCATTGTTCTGTCTGATTACTCTGGCTAGGATTGTTATACCTCTGCAAAATCAGCTCAGGCTATATATTGTCTGACTGATTTTTTATTTCTATAACAAAAAAGCAAAGTGTTCCTTCAATTCGGTTCTTGGAGATTGCAGGAACATGCACAAGAACTTCCTCAGTAATAATTTCCAAGTGATTTATCAATACATTTTTAGGATGTTTTCTTTACTTCCCAGTTTAGTATACACTCTTGGGAATGAATTCATGCTGATCTCCCATCTAATATCAGGTCTGATCCTATTTATTTTTTTAAATGTAATCAAGTATATAAATGCTGCCAGCTAGTGTGATAAATAAAATATCAAGGCAAAAACCAAAACAAACATAAGAGTTTTTTAAAAAGAAACAGGAACAAAATCTTTCATAGCCGAAGAATGCCTTTGTCTGGCAGTCTGGCAGCAGCAGCAGTATCTAAGTTAATTGATGTCCAACAATCTAAGTTCAAGGTGACCAGTTAACAAATTAGGAATTGAACATGTATTCTTTTTTTATATATATATAATTTTTTATTTTTATTACATAGACAACACATACACGCAACAATAAAAAAACAAAACAAAGAAAACAAAAAAAAACCCATCATCACATAAAGCATGTCGTTTGGTTACAGGTGTTTTAACATCCATATTCTCGAATAATATTTACCATCTCAGATTTTTCATCTAGTATAACTAAATACCTCACTTTCATTGTACAGTATATGTTCAGTTACAATTAGTCTTATTTTTTCCAGTAAATCATGATTCCCTTACATTCTTGATTGTCTATTTGATAACAGTATACCTTTATGTAATCCCATGTAATAGAAAAAAAATTTTTTTTACCAACCATTTATATTTGTATATCACTATTTTCAATTATGCATAATTCCACCAATCAACTATCAGGTATGCTTATGTTTATTATTATCCTTGTACATCATACATTCAAACAGAAATCTTATTCCTTCATTTTTCAACAAAATATTCTAAATAGTCGCTACATATATATACCAATTTTCAATTATTCCCTTATTAAAATTATTTATCAACAACAAGATATCATTGTAATATGAGAATTGAACATGTATTCTTAATGTGGGTTGGGCCATATCTCCAAAAGAGTGACATTGCTACCTTAACCCAACCAGGTTCTAGAAATATACACACCAATTACTTTCTTTATTCATCAAGTTATGGATGAACAATATCTACAGTCAGACCTATTATTTACTAACAGCAGCAAGAAGTTAAGGTTATCAGTGTTCTAAACATCAAGACCACAGGTCCAGAAGTGGGGCCTGTCACCAATGTGTCCCCTTCCATATCTTCCTGAACCCATTATTTTTGTGATTGGTTCCCCACTTCCATCAATAGATTTCTTCAATCCCTCATCTCACCACTGCATATGCACACATTCTACTCATCATTATATATCTAAATGCTAGATATATTAGTCTAATGTAATCTAGTCTGATGTGATGTATACCTAGATTCTTGAAATAAGTACCTCTGATACGAAACTATGTGACTGGTAATACCTATAAGACACACACCTCTAAAGATGTCCCCACTAGCTAGACTCATTTCTCTGACATACAGGAGGTTTACTCCTGCAGTTTTCCCAAGATATTTAATGTATTATCTGACTTTGGCAAAGCTCTCTTTAGTTTCTGCTTTAGAAAAGCAACTAATATGCATCTATTTTACTGGCCTTTTATACTTTAATTAGTTTTACTATTATTTCCAAGTTATATTAACTGTCTTTAATACTCACTGATGTGGAAAAAGAGAATATAAATGAAATAAATTTCTAACAAATGTTTATTTCTGAGAAACAAAACTGTGATTTGATTATGATTCTTTGTTAAAATATCTTTAGGTTAATGTAAAATGTGCTCTTATTATAAATCCCTAGGGGCAAATGTTCAAAAAGGAAAGTTTTTGGAAACACCATTGCATGCAGCTGCAAGGCTACCTAATACTGAAATAGTAAACATACTTCTTGACTTTGGAGCAGATATAAATGCCAAAAATTCTGAATTTGAACGACCTGTAGATGTCGCTGTTTCAAGCAGCTTGGTGGAAAAAATACTGCTATTACATGAAGGTAAAGTTTGTATTTTTTCTTTCTTTGTTGCTATTGGGTTTTGGATGACAGTATCAAGCCCAAGCTGCTTATTTTTCTCTTTCTCAGTGCTGAGGAAGCACATATATTAGATTTAGAATGAGGGGAGAAGAATTTTTCATCCTCCTCTCTGACTACAGCAGGTTGTAAGCTTCACTTTCTCTGGAAATACTTTTTTTTTAAACCATAAATCTATTTTCTTTCCCAAATCATTCAAGGTTTTGTTGAACTTTGCAAACATTCCTTAATTTTATTTGTGAAAAATATACATATGTACTACATATCTCTTAGATGCATGTCAGTGCACCCAAGAAATTTATTCAACTAAAATGTCTGTTTGAATATGATAAAAATATATAATGTAATAAGTATAAAATGTAAGTTCTTGAGAATACTATCTAATGATACCTAATGTCATTTTTATTCAATTGCAGTTACTCCATGTTCTCTTTGCCAGCTGTGTCGACTACGAATCCGAAATTATATAGGAAAGTCTAGATTGCATCTTGTACCACAACTTCAACTGCCAAACATCTTGAAAAATTTCTTACAGTACCAATAAAATAGTGAATCGAATCAGAACTTAAAGAAATATTCTACAACATGTTACACATGAAAATTAAATGATAGGGAGCAGCCTAAACAAGCTTGCCTGCTCATTAAAATTTAAAATCATGCCAAACATAATTTGGAATTCCTTGAAGTACTACTAAAATGAAACATAAATGTGTTCATATTTTACAGAGCTATACAAATCCTTTGAAAAAAGTAATCTTGAATGCAAAGTAATATGTGTGAAGGCCTTTTTTAAATGATTATAGCAACCAAATATTTAAGAAGCTGCTTTCAATCATTTCCACTTATGCAGTGGCTATAGATGCACACAAATGCAGACAGAGGAGGCAGCAACTTTCTCCACAACTATCTTAGCAATTTAAAAAGTTGGGCTTTGTGCACTCCTTTGCCTGTTCCGAAGCATGTTTTAGGAAGGACTTACACAGACCTAATATTTTGAAAATGTTGTATTTTTTTGTTTTTACAATATAGTCCTTACTGATTAGTCACTCCATTCAAAATTCACTTTTGTTCAGTCTAAGATCTGTGGGGGTGCAGTGGTTAGAATGCGGTATCATAGGTTAACTCACTGTTCACTCCAGGAGTTTGATTCTAAGTGGCTCAAGGTTGATTCAGCCTTCCACCCTTCCAAGATCTGTAAAATGAGGACCCAGATTGTTGGGGACAATATGCTGACTCTGTAAAACTGTTTAGAGAGGGCTGTAAAGCACTGTGAAGCAATATATATATATATGGGCTATTGCTATTTTCAGGAGACTGTATATTGCACTGCAAATTATAAATTCTGTTTGAATATCTTCTTTCTTTCTTAAAAGTATTGGAATGGCAGTGGAGAGAAAGAGAAGCGGGATTTCAAATAAATTAATGCCTCTATTCGTTTCCATATTTCTTCTCTGTATAAATTCCCCAACTTGTGATCCCAGGTCACAAGGAGCTTTCCAAGGTTTGGATGCAGTTCTAGACTATTTTTTCTTCTTCTTAAACTGCAACTGAAACGAGAGGCTATTAAGCATAAGATTGGGAGATGATTATACTAATTTCATTTAATAATTTAATTGCAATACAGGTAATCCTTGAGATACAGCTGCCCATTATAAGAGCAAGTGGTGATGGCCATTAAGGGAAATGGTCTTGCTTAACAACTGCCACCCTCTGTCCTCCCAGACGGGGCCATTAAATCAACACTTGGGTTGTTAAGCAGAAGTGGGAGTGGTCTTTGGAGGTCTAGCATATGCCCAGGCCTGCCTGCCCGTCCCAAAGCCCCCCCCCCCAATAAATCATATTATGCTCTGCTTGCTGTCCCCTGAAGATCTCCATGTTTCTCATGTGGGGGAAAGAGGGTGGGCCATGCCTCCCGGAAGTGCCCATCATTTTCTCCACTGCTTTCACAAAGCCATGAGCAAGGGACAAACCACTCCATTTTGTTTCTTAATGTGATCTCGATAGCCTGACATCTGGAGATCTTCAAAAGCTAAGTGTGCAATGGATGATGGTTGTGTGAAGAAGAGGCCTGTGTGGTCCCAATGGGGTGGGATGGGATGGTGGGGGAAAGAGTCGGGGGGACGTACTGCAATATCTCTGAGGTTGGGTGTAAGGGTGAATGACCACAGGGGCTGCAATGGCCATAACTTCTAAAAGGGGTCATAAGTAGCTTTGGAAGGGAGGAGGTCTGTCGTAACTTTGAACAGCCATTAAGTAACATTCATATCTAGAAGGCTACCTTTAAATTTAAATGAAATCAGATCATTCAATTTTTGTCCTAGGTGTGCCCATTTTCTGCTATATGCCCAAACTTTTGGCCTAATAAAGATCATCATTTTATGTAAGAATTAAGTTTAGTTGAAAAAATTTCAGTTACTTCATTTGTAAAGAAATAATATGCAGCTCTTAGTAGCAGGTTGCCTATTCAAATACTGCTGTTCCCACAGAAGCTACTTTCTTTATGTTCCTACTGCAGTTGAAAGAATGAGAGTAGCTACTGCTTTTTAGATTTTTGGTCTTTTGAGAGCTGGAATGGAATGATCCTACAATGTATTCCTGTCTTTAAAAATTTCATGAAATGCTATGTAAGTAATAATGTAGATAATGGGAATAGGGGAGAATGTCTAGAACGTGTAAATTTTGCATAAAATCTATTGTTTAGTTTAATTATTGTTTGATATATACTGAGTAAAGATGAATGACTGACTATGTGTTAAGTACATTTTATTTTTTCTCTAAAACAGAAACATATATATAAAACTTGAAAGATGGTTAAACAAATAAGTGTCATTTTATTTTCAGACATCTCTGGCATACATACTTTATGAAGATCTACTATTGTAAATGTGTTTGTTTTTCTTTTGTCATCTAGCCCCTAATTGTCCTGGGGTCACCAAGGAAATTTCAGGGCAAAACAGGGATTTAACTACTACTACTTTAGTCACTACAAAAGAATATCATAAATGTTTGCATATTACTTTAAAATGCACAGAAATTAAATATGGGCACTTATAAATAATAAGATTATTATAAAAGATTAAATAAATAAATAAACAAACAAACAAATAAATAAATAAATAAATAGTACAAAACAGATTTGATGCCACTGGATTTCAAATGCACGTAGTTCTCTCGCCTACCCTGCAGTTAGCACTAAGCAGTCATCCACTGCGACTGTCAGCAACTACCTTAGCCTTTTTCCTTTTAATTTTTTTCTTTTCATCATGACACTGGTGAGGCCCCGCCTCCCCTGACTGCACATCCCTGGTCGGTAGATAAATAGGTACCAGTTCATTGGGAAGGTTACTGCATTCCATATTTTCATGCTGGCCACATGATGATAGAAACGTCTCTCAGACAATAGAGGTTCCCTCGGCTGAGAATCAGATAAGCACTGCACCCTTCAGTCGGTCATGACTGGATGGGAAATCTTTAAAATTTTAGTGTTCCATCTTACATCTACATTTGATTTATGTTTCCTATATGAAGAGCTTTGCATATGTCAGCCCATACTTTCTAGCAAGATCGTTTTGGATTGGATTTCTGTCCAGTAGCTACTCTCCAGCAGTCTATGAGCTATTCCACTCTATTTTGTGTCATCTCCAGTTAAAAGCATATTGTCAGGCATGCCTCCTTCAATATCCAAGCAAGAAAAACCTCAACTTGAATAGAAATAAAGTAACTTTTACTAGATATGAATTGAAAGCAGCAAAAAGGAAAGCAAGATCTGAGCCAAAAAGGCGTGAACATGTACATATCAAACGTTACCCAGCACTCTCCCTCCAATTCCGCAACCCAATGTCCAATCTGCAACTCCCTAAGGTGTCATGTGGGGTGCATTTTCAAACAGCCTCATCAAGTTGGTATGTGAGAGGGTTGGTCTTGACCAAGTCCAAACATCAGTCACCAGCATGCACAGAAGATGGTGAGAACTAAACTCCCTTCTTCATAACTCCTCCATCACCAGTAATTTCCCCCTCCCAAATATCTCAAGCTCCCCCGCTCCCTGTTTCTATGGCAGCCGATAGCAGGCAAGGAAAGTAGAGGCTGACACATATTTCTCCAAATAATGAAAATATTGAAGAATATAAGATCCAGGACTGTCCCATAGCTCTCTCTAAGTTCTACTGAGTTAATTCTCTAAGAACTACTGATTAGCATACTTGAATTATGTATTCTGAACCACCATCTATCATTATGCCATCCAATCCACATTTATTGAAATATTTTGCTTAAGACAGAATGGATTCTGACCTGTAGCCTGACAGCTATTGTTAATGTTATCTGGATGTACTTTCTATTTTTATTCTCCATACCTATGATTTTTGTTCATTTTCAAACTTCTCTAAATTTATTAAGGCCAAAGGGTGTGTGATTCATTCATGCTCTATGGCCGTGATGGCGAACCTATGGCACGCATGCCACAGGTGGCACACAGAGCCCTCTCTATGGACACATGAGCCGTCGCCCACCTCAGCTCCACTGCATCTCCTGCCGGCCACCATGTGGGAGACTTGCGTGCATGCGTGTGGGGGTCACAATCACATGCACGGGGGAACGGGAGAACACGGGGTGGGTGGGGGTGGAGCACTTTACCTGGCACCCAATTTTTGGCCTCTTGAAACCAAAAATGGGCCATGGGGGCCCTCCTCCGTGCTTAGTTCCAGGAGGATTCAGAGAGGCCTACTAGGCCCAAAACGGGCCTAGCAGGCATGCTCAAGGGGGCAGGACCTCCAGGGAGAGTTCTGCATTATGGGTGTATGTATGGGGGTGGGGTTTGTCACATGCTTTCGGTACGCAAGGACAAAAAGTTAGCTATCACTGCTCTATGGAGACTAATGTTTAATGCCACCCATTAAGCCTATCATCTCCCATTAAAACAAAAACAAGTTTCTCTTCAACCCAAAAATTAATTACATCAGTGCCGCACTTTAATGTCAGATGAAATATAATATTCATATAAAATTGCATGTTTTTAAACTAATATAATGCTATAACTTTCCAACAGTTTATCCCTTAGGACAAGAACATTTCAGCAATCACTGAATGCCTGGTTAAAAATTTCATTAAACTCTGGGAAGCCACCTTCCAACAATACAAACAAAATGTGGCCAAATTTGAACCTTTGCACAGATGGTTTGTATCTATTCCAACTTCAGGAATATTTCCTAAAAAAAAAATTTCACCTGCTGTATTTATGACCTTTTAGTCTGATACAGATACAAATTAACAAGAGCTGAAATATTCCTTGTAGGAATATAGGTCATCTAGTCCAACCCCCTCCCCCCAAGCAGATTGGTTTGAAATTTGACAATTTTTGTTCCCATCAATTAGAAACTGGTTTTCAAGAAGCTTTATGCAGCTTTTTCTTTTTTGCAAGTCTCAAAAAACCTCCAATAGTATGCATAATTCCACACCCTTTGTATTGTCAAAGAAAGGCTTTTTTCACCCTGAGTCAAGATAGACAGGAACACCCGTAGAAAATATTTTTTTAAAATAATTCCTACAAGCACCAGAGCTGGAAATTTGTATGTTCAAGAGCAAATATTTTGCTGAAGTCACGTGAATGGGCAAAACTTCGGAGGGCAGTAAAATTCAGATAACTTTAGTCCTTTATCAATTTAAAATGTACAATGAAACTTTTTGTATCATATTACTTATCAAATTAGTCCCCAACTTAAAACAAAAGCAAAGCGTCACAGAAACAATTCTGCTTTCAATTTCCCTGAAACTGATTTTAAAAATGAATTCCAGAGCCAATTTTGTCTTTCCTCTTCACGGAAAGTATTTCGCTTTCGGCATTTCGAGACAATGCAGAAACGGAGTTTGAACAGTCTGTACAACTATCACGTTGACTGGGAACAGGTTATTCCTACATACAGAAAAGGAGGGGAACCAGAGCATTGTCAGATCAAAAAAATGAGACGGCCAGGCGACCGCTGACTCGGAGTCGGAAAAGTCGCTTTTTAGATTTGGAAAATAAAAAGAAACACGCAACCCCAAGAAAAGATAACTGGAACACAAGTGACCGGGAAGTTTGACTGTGTTAAGCGGTAGGAGTGGGTGGGTTGGTTCGTTTAACTTTGCACTCCTGGTAAACG